GTAGGGGGATAGGCAAAATAAGTGAAGGGGATTAATTAGTACAAACTTCCCATTATAAAATAAGGAAGTCACAGAGATGAAAAGTACAGCATAGGGAATATAATCAATATTGTAATGACTTTGTATGGTGACAGACGGTAACTACACATATGGTGAGCATTTCATGATGTATGTGTCAAATCACTATGTTATACATCTGAAATATATTACATGTCAACTATACCTCAAAAATGTTTTTAAAAAGAAGAAATTCTTTTTATTCTAAAGGGTAATAAATGTAAGTTTATTGAGAAATCTTACATTTATATCTAACAACTTATTCTGGAAAGGAAACCAGAATGGGTTAGTGGTACACAGTAGACAGCCTGGGAACACATCTGACATCTATATATTGGTAAACTTTTATAAACATATATGTATTATATTTGATTATCAACTTGTAGAGAAAATAATGGAATAAAATATTAAGATGGATTGCAAATGAGAAAGAAAAAAAATCTCAATTTATATCTCAGGTCAAATAGAAAATTAACTGCATCAAGCTGAACATGGAAACAAAAAGCCTAAGATTAAGAAAAAAAAAAAATTTTTTTTTTTTAACAAACCTGCACTTGAAATGTGCGAGTCATTACAAGACCCCAATTTAAAACCACAAAATATGCTTTTCACTTTAAAATAAAAATATATGCAAAATACAAAGACAACTAAAAAATTTAATCACAAAAATGACATATAATGTAAAAAGAACTATATTTTCAGTATCCATACAAGCCATATTAGTTAAAGTTTTAAGACAGGCAATTTTTGTGAAAACTACCCAGTATATGGAGATACACAGAACTATACAATATAATTTGTGAAAATTTCATTTTGATTTCAAAATTTACCTTTAACACATTCAAAACTAAAGTGGACTGAAATTTTTAAATGTTTCAAAAACATTCTAATTGTAGAAAACATAGTTATATATTTATTACTTTATCATTTCTACTTTATATCAGCCACATTTCACTGAATGTTTTAAAAATGTATTTGGAAGCTTTCCAGTGCACTCTAACAAAATTCATTAAAATAAGAATGCTTTTTGTTTTTCCAAGTGGTCATTTGTTGTATACATCATGTTAAACAGTTTAAGTTTTAAATAAGTAAAACTTGCATTGAATTTTTTGGGGAAAAAAAATGACTCTTAATGAACCAAAACATAGCTATGTGAAAATAATCTCTGGTGTGTGGCATAACATACCTTTATAGTGTTGATCATTTCGCATTTAAGCATCACAAATCAAATTTGTCTGAAGAGAATTCATCTGGCAGGGCAAGCAGAGGTCCATAAGAAGAGCTCTCTCAGTACATATGAAAATGAATCAGGGCACCTGGGTGGCTCAGTTGGTTAACCAGACTTCAGCTCAGGTCATCATCTCAGGGACTTGGAATCAAGCCCTGCATGGGGCTCTCTGCTCAGCGGGAAGCCTGCTTCTCCCTCTCCTCCTCCCCCCACTGGGGTGCGCTCTCTCAATTAAAAAAAAAAAAAAAGAAAAAGTATTTCTGTGATAATCCACCAATTGGTTAGCATGCTCTTGGTTTCACAGAGTGATTCAGAAGAGAAAATAAGCTAGGTCACACATAGATGGATTAGACAAAATTGCACAGTAAATATATTGATTTATGTGGCACTCTATAGAATGAACAAAACTTAGGATATTACTAATGCAATATAAATGCCAATAACTGAGAGCTAAGCACAGTAAGAACTGTGAAAAAGAAAGTTATGTTAATATTTATATTAAAAACTTGATATAAAAACATTATATACAAGCTCAAAATCCCATGGAATTCTGTCATGAGTAAGTGATCAGTGTTTTGTTACTTTTATTGATGCTCCCAGGGGCCAAGGTAAACACCATCATCACTTCTATGTCATAGTCAGCAAACTGAGGTTCAAGGGGCTCTGGGGAGTTGTCCAGATATTCCCAGGAATCCACAGAGACCTCAGTACTGTGCAGACCCTCCTCCCTGCAGGTGGGTTTTGGAGACTGACCTGGATCAGGGGCTCCTGAGCAGCTCAATTCCTGACACACCTGGGGGCACAGTGGTCTGGTGGTGGTAACAGGGAGAGCTGTAGGGGACTGGCTCTAGGATGCTTCCCACAGGTAGAACTATACAGGAATGGACACAACTCTTCACAATTTCCAGTGGACCAGGGATAGGGCAGCTCCTAATTCCCATTTTACATAGGATGAAACTGAGGCCCTGGATGGGGGCACGTGCCTGTGGGTCTAATTAATGACCTCTACATCACCCCCTAGCCAGGCTTTGGGGCTCAAAGTAAAGCCCAGCCCATACTGATGCAACCTTGTCCCCCATCTGCTCCAACCCACCAACCCCAGTGGTGATAGACCAGGAAAATGGATAACCACTACTAGGCAAGGCTTTATTGTATTCTTCAATGACTGGACTTAGGGAGAATGTGATGGAGAGGGGCTCCTTGGTGGCTCAGTCGGTTGTGACTGCCTTTGGCTCGGGTTATGATCCCAGGATCCTGGGATTGAGCCTCAAGTCGGGCTCCCCGCTCAGCCGGGAGTCTGCTTCTCCCTCTCTCTCTGCCCCACCCTGCCCCCCACTAGTTCTTGCTCTCTCCCTCAAATAAATAAAATCTTTAAAAAAAGAATGTGATAGAGGTATGTGAGCGGCTCAGTCGGTTAAGCATCTGCCTTTGGCTCAGGTCATGATCTCTGGTTCCTGGGATCCAGTCCCACATCTGGGTTCCTGCTCAGCAGGGAGACTGCTGCTCTCTCTCCCTACCTCTGCCCCTCCCCACTGCTCGTTCTAATAAATAAATTAAAAAAAAATTAAAAAAGAATGTGATGGAGAACATGTTAATGCAGAAAAAATTTAAAAGGCTACAGCTGTTCAATCCGTTGTGAATAGCGCATGCACACGCACACACACTTGTTTCATTGTCCTATCTGTTAAAGGAAAATAGCCGAAGCTCAAAGAATAAGAAAAAGATATGCGCAGGCATTTTACCAAAGTTGTAGATAGCAAATGAGCATCTGAAAAAATGCCCATCGTGAATCCTTACAGAAATGCAATTAAAACAAAATGAGAGAACACTAAAAACTTATTAAAAAGGCTAAAATTAAAATGGCCAAACGAAGTATTCAGAATATGGAGGAAATGGAATTCTCATACACTGCTGGGAAGATGCAAAAGGTATAATCAAAAGTAAAACATTTACCTATCCTGTAACCCAGACATTTCACTCTTAAGTTCCTGACAGAAGATCAAAGAAACATACAATCACATAAAGAACACAAATGTTTATACTAGCTTTATCTTAAATAGTCAAAGTCTAGAAAAAACCCAAATCCCCATACACAGATAAATGGATAAACTGGGGTATATCCAAAAATACTACTCAGCAAAGAACACAAAAAACCCAACTACTCATATAGTATCATTGATGAATCTCAAATAATTGTGACACATAAGGAAAAACAAAATACTCAATTCCAAACATAAATTCAAAAAATTCAAAGGTATCCATCCACCTATTGTAAGAGAAAGTAAATCAGTGGTTACCTGAAGGGTGGGAGGGGCAAGGGAGATCATAAAAGAACATGAGGTAAACATAATGTGACAGATACGGTCATTATCAGGACTATGATGATGGTTTCAGAAGTTCGTAACTATATCAAAACTCGCCAAATTATACTGTAAATATATGCAGGTTAGTACATATAAACCATACCTCAATAAAGCTTTAAAAATGGCTCAAGACAGAATGTCTTTGTCCCACTTTTTGGAAAATAGGTTTGACAACCCCACACGGACTCCCATCTCTTTCTCATGCCTATGGAGATATTACCCCAGTGGCAGCAGATGTGGAGAACAATGAAGAATATTTCCAAACAAGTCAACAGGAATGCTTCCTGGGTCACAAGTGCCATATCCCAGAAATACAGATCCCCCTTTATCTTTTTTCCCCGCATCTGTGGTAGTGGCTTTGAGGCAAACATCACTGAGAGGAAACCACAGAACCTTTTATTTTAGTTTTTATTTTTTTCTCTGACAATGACTACCTACACAAGATAAATATGCCTGGAGGTCCTGAGATTTGTATACACACTGATTCTACAGTCACTGTCACAGAAACTTGTCTGGATCCATTTTTAGAAGAGGCACATTCTACTTAGATGCAGTCTCCTCCACTTCCTATTAAGCCAGGTTTCTGTACCAATTATGGCTTCCCTTGCACACTGTGGTCTTAAAACCAGTGACCCTAGCCCAATAGATTGTGGACATCAGGGCACATAGCTGTTTGTAAAGCTGAAGAAGATAACCCCTCAACAATGCTGACATCCCCTGTGATGTCTCCTTTGAGTAAGGGGAAGAAATTCCTGCTCCTTTCAGAAGCATCTGAGGATCTCACAACTGCCCCCTCCTTGGGGGTCATCACTGAAACTCTAAAACACAAAGCATCCAGATCTCAAATGAAAACCAGAAAGCCCTGCAGCTTTTGTGGGGGGTTGTGGGGCAGCAATGCAAATTTGGTCAAAACTGGCAAGCTATTTTCTGTCATCCTCCTTAAGTACAGGCAATTTTAGACTCCTAAAAAGTTCACCCAGCGATGCTTGTTGAGCCCAAATCCGTACATAAACTACCCCATAGAGTAAGTAGAACATCTAAGATTAAAGAGAACTTAAAGAGTAAGTCCTTGATAATCACATAAGCCAAAGCAATGTACGGCAGACATTTACCGTTTTGGACTTGGAAGCTGAAAAAACTCATCACAAGTGTCACATGAGACTAACATGTCCCTGAAGAAGGTAGTCATTCTCTGTAAGCTGCCAGCCAAACCCATATTTCCTGGGTCATCAATGATTCAGGTCCATACCCAAGGTACTTAAGGAGATGGGGAAACTGACCCTAAGGGCTCAGGTTACGCCTAATTTGTTCCAATTCATGAGAGAACAAAGGTCAGCTTCACTGAATACATTGTGGAGGTGATGGATGCATACTTTGTGGACCTGCCAGGCAGGAGAGGTGAAAAGGCTTTGGTCACAAATCTAGCAGTGAGCTAAATCTAGAAAGAGCCCTGGACAGCTTAGAAAGTGCAACATATTTACACAAGCTTACTACAGTACTGAAACTTCCAAGGGATATCCCACCGTGCATGTTTAGGTATCTGAGATTCAGTTCAGACAGATGGCTCCTCAGAGTTCCCTCCAGTGTTGTTAACAGTGAATAGGAAATTACACATTCCCTGCACACCTAAGGCCTTTCTCTAGTGTGAACTCTTTGATGTTGAGAGAGGGTAGATTTTCGTGTAAAAAACTTCCCACATTCACTACACTCGTAAGGCCTTTCTCCAGTATGACCTCTCCGGTGTTGACTGAATTGGGAACTATCCCTGAAGGATTTTCCACATTCGCTGCACTCATAAGGCCTTTCTCCAGTGTGAACTCTCTGATGATAACGTAGTTTGGAGCTAGAGATAAAAGATTTTCCACATTCACTACACCTGAAAGGCCTATCTCCTGCATGAACTCTCTGATGATAACGAAGGGTAGAACTGGAGGTAAATGATTTCCCACATTCGCTGCATTCATAAGGCCTTTTACCTGCATGAACTCTCTGATGATAAGAGAGGGTAGCGCTACTGGTAAAAGACTTTCCACATTCGCTGCACACATAAGGTCTTTCTCCTGTGTGAACTCTCTGGTGTCGAATCAGTATTGAGCTATTGGTGAAAGATTTCCCACATTCACTGCACTGGTAAGGTTTTTCTCCCCTATGAACTCTATGATGATAACCAAGGCCAGAGACAGATGTAAAAGATTTCCCACAAGCACTACACTCATAAGACCGTTCGCTATTATGAATTCTCTGGTGTATTGACAGGGAAGATTTTTGGCTAAATGTCTTCCCACATTCACTGCATTCATAAGGCCTTTCTCCCGTGTGAGTTCTCCGGTGTTTATTGAATTGTGATCTATCCTTAAAGGATTTCCCACATTCAGTGCACTCATAAGGCCTTTCTCCACTGTGAACTCTGTGATGATAACGAAGGCTGGCACTAAAAGTAAAAGATTTCCCACATTCACTGCACTTGTAAGGCCTTTCTCCTGTGTGAACTCTCTGATGATAACGGAGAGTGGAACTGGAGGTAAAAGATTTCCCACATTCATTGCATTCATAAGGCCTTTTACCTTCATGAACTCTTTGGTGGTAACAGAGTGTGGAGCTACAGGTAAAAGATTTCCCACATTCACTGCACACATATGGTTTTTCTCCTGTGTGAACTCTCTGGTGTTGAATGAGCGTCCACCTATTGTTAAAAGATTTCCCACATTCACTACACTTGTAAGGCCTTTCTCCTGTGTGAACTCTCTGATGTAAAATGAGGTTATTTCTTCGGATAAAGGATTTCCCACATTCACTACATTCGTAAGGCCTTTCTCCAGAATGAACTCTATGATGATAATGGAGGTCAGACCTAGAAATAAAAGATTTCCCACATTCACTGCACTCATAAGGCCTTTCTCCAGTATGAACTCTCTGGTGATAACGGAGGGCAGAACTAGTGGTAAAAGATCTCCCACATTCACTACACTCATAAGGTCTTTCTCCAAGGTGACCTCGATGATGATACTGGAGAGTGGAGCTACACGTAAAAGATTTCCCACATTTACTGCACACATAAGGCTTTTCTCCTGTGTGAATTCTCCGGTGTCGAATGAGTGTCCACCTATTGTTAAAAGACTTCCCACATTCACTACACTCATAAGGCCTTTCTCCAGTGTGAACTCTGTGGTGGTAACGCAGGCTGGAGCTAAAGGTAAAAGATTTCCCACATTCACTACACTCATAAGGTCTTTCACCTGAGTGAACTCTTAGGTGTATAATGAGGTTATTTCTTCGAGTAAAGGACTTGCCACATTCACTGCACTCGTAAGGCCTTTCTCCAGTGTGAACTCTGTGATGATAACGGAGAGCAGTACGAGTGATAAAAGATTTCCCACATTCACTGCACTCATAAGGCCTTTCTCCCGAATGAACTCTCTGATGATAACGGAGGTCAGACCTAGAGATAAAAGATTTCCCACATTCACTGCATTCATAAGGCCTTTCTCCTGTGTGAGATCTCTGATGATAACTGAGGGCAGAGACAGAGGTAAAAGATTTTGCACAGTCACTACACTTGTAAGGCCTTTCTCCAGTTTGAACTCTACATGGAATCAACACTGAGCTATGGCTAAAAGATTTTGCACATTCACTGCACACATAACTGTTTTCTCCATTGTGCCATTTCTGGGGATGAATGAGGACAGATTTGTGGCTTAAGGATTTCCCACATTTGCTGCACTTGTATTGCCTGGACCCAGTGTGAGTCTTTCCATGTTGACTGAGGGTTGAGCTCTGCCTAAGGGATTTTCCGCATTCACCAAACTCATGATGTCTTTTTCCAGTATGGAATCTCTGGTGTATAGCAAATGAAGATTTGTACCTGAATGTCTTCCCACATTCACTGCACACAAAACTGTGGTCCTGAACAAGTGTGTGTTTGGGACCAAAGGCTTTCTTGAATTCTCCCCAGGTGTAATGACTTTTTCTGCTTTGTAAAGTTGCCCTGCACTGGGTGATTGTGTGTGGCTTCTCCCCAGTATGTGTGGCCTCTTGATGCAGATGCCCCAAGCTAGACAGGAAGTCCTTCTCAACCTCTCCACAGGTAAAGGGCTTTCCTGAATCATGGATTCTGCAGCTCTTCACAAAAGAGGCCTTGTCCACACTGCATCTAAACGGTTTCTCTCCCACGTGCTGCTCCTGCTGCTGAGAGTTTATGTTGAAATAAAATCGTTTTGCACATGCCCCACACCTCATCAGTTTCTGGTTGTTTTCTTTTCCCTGGTGCACAGCCAAGTGGAAAATGTCTCTCAAGACTGGACCACACATCTCACAGGGGTGGGTCTTCCGGGAAGACAGAGCTGCCTTGGGCGTCCTGGTCTGTGACACACCTATAGAAGTGCTCTGTTCAAAAGGTGCCTCCGTATCCTCTGCTCCACAGCAGCAACCTGAACGCAAAGAAATGCTGGTGAAATATGTGTTGACTATAGTGAAGGGGTGAGCCCATCACATATATGCATCCATCCCATCTAGGCAGGAGTATATGACATGCTTTTCCAGACACAGCAGTTGGAATTCAGTTGAAGGAACAGCCACTGTGCATTATTTGACCCCTAAGGTCATAGAATGGTGGAGACCTCACCAGGGGAAGGATACAAAGACAGGATATGAGACAAGAAAGAGAGGTAAGGACTACAACTCATTTCTCTGCCAAGAGTCTTTGGCAGGACCTTTGCTACTGCTGATGTGAGGCTGGGTAAAAGCATGCATCCAAGCCCATTAAAACCCAACTGTAACAAATTAGCTGCTGTTCAATGCCAAGTTAGGGATGTGTGAACATCTCATGGCCAATGCTGGAGTACAGAAACAGTGAGAGAAATGGGTGAGATATGGAGTCCAGAGAGGTGGAGATTATCCCTGTGCTGGAAATCATAGAGAAATGATGAGAGAACTGACAAATTGGCAAAATGTCAAAATGGAAATGAGAAAGTAGAAATGAAGTGTGGCCACTGAAAACGGCATGTAAGTGTGGGTGAATAAAGACAGGTTCACCATAGGGGACCTGGCGTGATCTGAACACTCTCTCCATCCAGTGACCAGGACCATGCCCCTCTGAGTCCACTCTGTCATGTCTGGAGTCCTGCCCATCCTCTGATACACAAAAGATTCTTCCCTGTAAGCCCTGAGCAACTACATGGGACATGGACGATACAAGTCCTAAGGGAAAAACAGGACAAATGAATAGCCAGCACTATCCTGGGCTATTCAGCACAAAAGACAGCAAGGTGATGTCAGCGTAAGAGCAGAGGAAACCAGCCTTTGCCCTTGGCAGGTTTAAGAGTCAATTAAGATACCGCAGGGGCACCTGGGTTAGTTAAGCATCTGCCTTGGGCTCAGGTCATGATCCCAATGTCCTGGGATTGAGCCCTGCATCAGGCTCCCTGCTCAGCGGGGAGTGTGCTTCTCCCTCTCCTTCTGCCACTCCCCCTGCTTGTATATACACTCTCTCTCAAATAAATAAATAAAATCATAAAAAAAAAAAAAAAACTACTACTACAGGGACACAATGCAGCACACAAAAAGGAGAATAACCACACAGGAAGGATTGATGGGGACACTGGCTTAGTGAAGACAGCTGGATAATAGGCAGAAAATAAGAAGGGTGGGGCTGTGGCAGCCAAAGGACTGATGCCACTGCATTCCCCCAATCTGCAGGGCACCTCAGCAGCCTCTGCTGCAGAGAACATCAACAAGACCTGCTATAGTGGCAGAACATCACAGATTACACAGCAGAGGTGTCCAAGTGTTTGCAGGCATGGACCCCATATGCCTGCTCTGCAGAAGACCCCGGCAGCTTTTTCACTAAGGTAACCAATAGCTATCACCATGGAGGACCTGCCAGAGAATAATATACTGAGTTGCTCCCTCCACCAAAAAAGGAGCTATTGCCACTCACACCGACCCTGCATACACCCTGGACCCCAGCCCTGCAACTGCTCCATGGTTGCCTATATTCCATAACTTGACTCCATGGCTATCACCTGAGTGCCCAGGTCTCAGGCACAAGAGCCATGGCTGTTGTGGGCTAGTCAGCTCCTCCAATCCCAGAGACACTGAGCGTACCCATGCTCCAATCACAGGCGCCATCAATGCTCAGTGTACAACTGCATCTCACACAGCAGGTCAACACTGCTGCAGGCTATTCAGAAACTGGGACCCTACAACTGCTATTGCTCCATGTATATTTACACTCTTAGAACCCAGATGCATACCCACTCCACAGGTGCCTGCACATAAGACACCAATGCTACCACCACCACAAAGACACCCAAGAGCTGGACTTGGCATCGAGAGAACCACAGAGCCAAAACGTTTTCTGTGGGAGAAAGAGATCAGGAGGTTCCCAGTAGCACTGTCTACTATTGTGGACACACACAGCCTTGGCTATTGAGGACTCCTACAGTCTTTGATGACACTGATCGCAGGTAACAGAGCTGCAGACACTAAACCTCTTGACCAAATTGTAGTCAGAACTGCCACACCCCACCAAGCCAGTGCACTCACATCCACACACAGGTAAAGATCTTCCCCACCAAAACCTTTCTGTAAAGACTGGAAGAAGGGACTAACTACTTCATGAAATGTACAGACATAAATGCAAGGCTATAAGAAACACACACAAAAAAAAATCAAGGAAACAGGACACCCCCAAAGGAACACAGTAATTGATCAGTCACCCCAAAGAAATGCAGATCTAAGAATTGTCAAAGATTTCAAAATAATTGTTTTAAGGGAGCTCAATGAGCTACAAGAAAACAAAGACAATATTGAAATAAGGAGAACAATTATAAACAATACAAGCTTTTTCAACAGATAAGAAAATATAAAAAAGGACCAAATAAATTATGGTATACTCTACTGTACACCTTAAACAAATAGAACACTGTATGTTAATGATACTGGAAAAAAGTTATGGTAGGGCGCCTGGGTGGCTCAGTTGGTTAAGTGACTGCCTTCGGCTCAGGTCATGATCCTGGAGTCCCGGGATCGAGTCCCACGTCGGGCTCCCTGCTCAGCAGGGACTCTGCTTCTCCCTCTGACCCTCTTCCCTCTCGTGCTCTCTCTTATTCTCTCTCTCTCTCAAATAAATAAAAATCTTAAAAAAAAAAAGTTATGGTAAAGAATACGATGAATGAAATGAAAAATGGTGGCACCTGGGGGGCTCAGTCATTAAGCATCTGACTCTTGATTTCAGCAAAGGTCATGATCTCAGGGTTGTGAGATCGAGCCCTGTATCAGGCTCTGCACTCAGCACAGAGCCTGCTTGAGATCCTCTCCCTGCCCCCAACGTGAATGAATGAAAGGGAAGAAAGGAAAAGGGAAAGGGAAAGGGAAAGGAAGGAAGGAAGGAAGGAAAAATGCAATAGAGAGCATCAACAGCCAGCCCGATCAATCAAAATCTGAATCGGAAACTGAAGATATATCTTTTTCTAATAGTGCTCCGCACATTTTAAAAAAAGATTTTATTTATTTCAGAGAGAGAAAGAGAGAGGGAGAAAGCACAAGCAGGGGGAGAGGCAGAAGGAAAGGGAGAAGTAGGCTCCCCACTGAGCAGGGAGCCTGATGTGAGGCTCGATCACAGAACCCTGGGATCATGACCTAAGCCGAAGGGAGATGATTAACCAAATGAGCCACCTAGACGCCCCTGAAGATATGTCTTTTGAAATCATTCAAATTAGAAAAGAAACAACTAAAAAGAGTGAATAAAGAAAGTCTATGTGGATTATAGGACATCATGAAAACAGAATAATATTTGCATTATGGGGGCCCTGAAGAAGACAGGCTGGGACAGAAATCTTATTTAAACAATAATGGATTAAAAAATACTGGATGGGGCGCCTGGGTGGCTCAGTCATTAAATGTCTGCCTTCAGCTCTGGTCATGGTCCCAGGGTCCTGGGATCGAGCCCCACATTGGGCTCCCTGCTCGGCGGGAAGCCTGCTTCTCCCTCCCCGACTCCCCCTGCTTGTGTTCCCTCTCTCGCTGTGTCTGTCAAATAAAATCTTAAAAAAAAAAAAATGGATGAAAATTTCCCAAATCTGGGGAAAGACATGGAAATCTGGGTACATGATGCTCGTAAGTTCCCAAAAAGATTCAAACCAAAGAGGACTTCACCAACACATTACAGTTGACCCTTTTGAACAACATGGGTTTGAACTGTGCAGATTCATTCATAAGCAGACTTTTTCCAATAAATACACTAAAATACTATAAAGGTATTTACTCTTATGATTTTAACATTTTCTTTTCTCTAGCTTACTTTAATGTAAGAATACAGTATACATATAATATACAAAATATGGGTTAATTGACTTTATGTTATTAGTAAGGCTTTGGTGGAGAATAGGCTATTAGTAGCTAAGTTTTGGGGATAGTCAAAAGTTATATATGTTTTTTTGGCTGCATGGGGGTTGGCACCCCTAACCCTCATGTTGTTCAAAGGTCAACTATATGATAAAAGTCAAAATGTAATGACAAAGAAAATTTGAAAGCCATGAGAAAAACTCATACAGGGGAACTCCCCTCCCCCTCATAAGGATATGAGCAGTTTTCTCAGCTATAACACTGAATACTAAGAGAAAGTGGGATGATGTGTTCTAAATGCTGCAACAAAGAAAATGCAAACCAAAAATACTTTACCAGCAAAGCTGTCCTTCAGAAATGAAGGAGAAAGACTTTCCCAAACAGAAGCTGAGGGAGTTCATCACCGCTTGACCTACCCTACAAAAGATGCTAAACACAGTTCTTCAAACTAAAATGAAAGTATGCTAATTAGTAACATGAAAATATAGAACACACTGATAAATGCAACTGTATAGTCATATTCAAAATATAGGAGTCCATCCTTATCTATTTCACTTTCCATGGTTTCAGTTACCCACGGTCAACTATGGTCCAAAAGCAAATGATCCTCCTTCGTTATAACATATTGTCAGAAGGTAATAGTAGCCTAATGCTATGTCACAAAACCTAAGTCATTCACCTCACTTCATCTCATCATTTAGGCATTGTATCATCTCACACCATCACAAGAAGGGTGAGTATGGTATAATAAGACATTTGGAGAGAAACAACACATTTACATAACTTTTACTGTACTATTAATATTTTATTATTATTTATTGTTGTTAATCTCTTACTGTACCTAACTTATAAATTAAACTTTATCATAGGTATGTATGTATAAGAGAAAACATACTATGTATAGGGTTCAGTACTATCTGAAGTTTCAGGCATCCACTGGGAGTCCTGGAACATATCTCCCCCGTGCATAACAAGGGACTACTATACTCTAATACTTTAATAGTGTGTTAATCACTCAACACCAGTAAGGAGGACAAAAGACTATTAAAAATAACTGTATCTACAACAACCTGTGAATGATTAC